TGTTTTCTGAAAATGTATGAATGACATTTCAAATTTATACATCACTGACATGGATCGAATGGCAACATTTATTAGAGGGAAGAAAGTCAAACCAGATGTAATGGGAATCCTCATCTGCTTCCACTAAAACTGAAACAGAATCTAGTTTTGATGTTAATTTGAATAGCAGCATGTGAACTGTATTTCAGAGTTTTAAAACAATGGTAAGATCCTAAATTTGAGGTCTGGAAAATTTGATATCTGAATTCTGCTTCTCTTCTCACAATGGCACACCCAATGAAGAGGAGTTAAATGTTCTCATTTAACACATATACATGTATAATTGTACTTTTGCAAAAAGTCTTTAGGTTTTGCTTCTTTGCTTCTATGAGGCTATTTAATTTTGGATACATACATGTTATAGCTGACAAACACATTTTGTTTTTAAAGGCCACTGCTTTCTACAAAGTAGTAACACATAATGGAGTCCCTTTCTTCCAGTTTGTAATGTTTACTAACACATTTTAATGTATGATTAGATTCCGTGCAGTCTTTTAAAAATCTAAGTTAACGAATCTTTTTTCATAGAATCATGGAATGGTTTGGGTTGGAAGGGATCTTAAAGACCATCTGCTCCCAGCCACCCTGCCATGGGCAGGGACACCTCCCACCAGACCAGGTTGCTCCAAGCCCCATCCAGCCTGGCCTTGAAGCCCTCCAGGGATGGGGCATCTACAACTTTTTTTAAGTCCATACGTGATCAGTTCCGTTTCCTTTTACAGTTCCTCTTGCTTCCCTACTCCACGCCATGTGTCTTAATATTTCCACTGTCAGGGCCTTTTTTCCACCCCTTTCCAGCTATGTAAGGCTTGAAGTTGGGTGGGACTCTGCTGTAACCTAACTGGTATTATTCTGCTACAACACAGGCACAGACATTTCCTGGCTCACTAGCTGGTGCCTACAGCTCTGATCCCATGTGTGGAGGGTGTCCTCTTTCTTGACTTGAAATTCAATGACCATGGGGTAGGGTTTGTCAGAGGCCACCAGTACGGCTAACCCTGGTAGAACATCTGATTACCTTTAGCTGAGAGACTACAGGCATTCAGGGGGGCCTTCTACAGAAACAAACAGTGACGTTGTTATTAACACCAGACCTATGGAACGCAGAGCCGAGGCTAGAGCTCATGCTGGAGTAGATTATAGTAAAAAAAAATACACAGAAAACCAAACAAAAATCCAATCTCCCAAACAAAACAACAGTCTTCGCTCTCCTTTTGTTTGTTTCAAAATGTGAGTAGGCTGGGTTTGTACTTTCAACTATGTTATCACATAATGCAAAACTCTTTCCTGTGCCTTCTCTTTTTAATCTTTAACTTTTCCTTCTATACCTTTCTCCCCTTTTTCTCCAGTTCATCTGTTCTTTTTCCCTAACTATGGTGTTTACCCAAACACAGAACAAGCCTGTGTGGCAGGCAGCTTCTTGCCTTCCTGTGCTCCAGCCTCACATCCTCCCTTCCCACGTCTGACCTGCCTCAGTCTGCTTTGCATTTCTATTTCAGCTGAACAACTCCAGATGCTTTGCAGAAAGAGAGGAGCTTCTGGCCATATCCTGGGCAAGCCACAGGCACAGCCCAGTGGCTGTTGTATCAGGAACGGTGTGGCGAGGATGAAGGAAATTATTGTCCCCCTGTACTGGGTACACTGGTGAGGCTCCACCTCGAACGCTGTGTCCAGTTTTGGGACCCTCATGACAAGGACATTTCGGTGCTGGAGCGGGTCCAGAGAAGGGCAACGGAGCTGGTGAGGGGTCTGGAGCACAAGTCTTGTGAGGAGAGGCTGAGGGAGCTGGGGGTGTTCAGCCTGGAGAAAAGGAGGCTGAGGGGAGACCTTCTCGCTCTCTCCAACTCCTTGAAAGGAGGGTGTAGCCAGGGGGGGTCGGTCTCTTCTCCCAAGGAACAGGCCATGGGACAAGAGGAAATGGCCTCAAGTTGCACCAGGGGAGGTTCAGGTTGGAGATCAGGAACAATTTTCACCCTGAAAGGGTTATTAAGCCTTGGAATGGGCTGCCCAGGGAAGTGGTGGAGTCACCATCCCTGGAGGTATTCAAAAGACAGGTAGATATAGTGCTCAGAGACATGGTTTAGTGATGTTTTTTATCAGAGTTAGGTTGATGGTTGGACTCAATGATCTGAAAGGTCCCTTCCAACCCAGGAAATTCTATGATTCTATGATTGATGGCACCTCCACTTCAATGGTGTTTCCCATGGCTTGCAGCACATTCTCTGGCACTCAGAAGCAGCTGCTTCCAGAGGTGGAAGCAAGATACCAAGAGTTCCCAAGCTGAACGGGAATATCTGGTCAAATCTGCAGCACCGAGTTCTTAAGCTTGAATGTTAGTTAACATTCATACATAAAGGTTCTTTTCTAAGCTAAATCCTAGTTGTACACAAGAGTTTGGATACTTCAATAAAAACAAGTGCCAGAGATCACAGGGCGCAGTGAAAGCTCGATAAAATATTTCAGGCTGCCTGCACAGCAAAGGGAGGCACGTAGGCTCTTGCTGCTAGAAAAGAACCTAACAACACATAAATCCAACATTTCCCGTCGCTTGCCTTAAATCAATGGGCTTGTGGTGCTATTCCTTAGAGTCAACAAACATGCCAGGAAAAAAAATCTGTTTCCAAGCTGACTGCCCTTTCTCAGAACTGCTCGTAAGCACCAGGGAGGATGGAAAGTGGGCTGCTGGGCTGCAGAGGTGCTTAAGGGAGGAGTCTGCCAGCAAAAGAGAATTGCAGAGGTTGAAGCATGGATGGGCCTTCAGTTTTCCCAGAGATCTTACTAAAAATGTGTAGTTCATTTAACAAAAAAGGCGACATCCTAAACCGAACAATCTAATTGCCTCGTCTCTCCTGCCCTCCCAGCCATTTTTAATATAATGATGGAGGCTGTGAACGTAACGTATTCCTATCCTGAGGCTTTTTGCTTTAATGCTGGGTTGAGATACTGCTCTAAGGAAAGAAGAAAATACATGTCATTTCTGAACGAAAGCAAAGAACCACCAGAAAAAGGTGGTACATTCTTGTATTCTCAAGGAACTCTGCAGAAATTTTCTTTCATCTAGGAAAATGCTTTTAACACAGTTAGCAAAACATTCTTACTAGCAAGCTACTCTCCAAGGATCTCAAATAACAACCAGAAGGTTTTTATGCACACATACACAGCCTATACTCTGTCATACCCTATGTTCTGTCACAAGCTCTACAGAGAAATCTTGTGATTTTTCTCTTCCTGCCACATTGTAGTGCTTTAAGGGAAAACCTTGGTAAGGGGGACGTAGTTGAGCAATATGCTTTCCCACCAGTGCCTGTCTATCCCAAACATCTTCCTTCCTTACCTCAGCCTGTTCTCCTGGGTAGAAAAGCTGCTTGGAAATAGCTGCAAGTTTGCTCACCTTTGCACTAATGCAAGTCTTAATAAGAAGACTCACCATCATTGCACACTGAACTTTGGAGACCATCTCCTGGGTCTGGTTTAGCCTATGACAGCCTGTTCTCCTGGCTAGAAAAGCTGCTTGGAAATAGATGCAAGTTTGCTCACCTTTACACTAATGCAAGTCTTAAGACCCACCATCATTGCACACTGAACTTTGCAGACCATCTCCTGGGTCTGGTTTAGCCTATGCCTGCTGACAGGCTCACCCAAATTGCACAAACTTGAACTTCACAAGTTCCATCTGAACATGAGGAGGAACTTCTTTCCTGTGAGGGTGGCAGAGCCCTGGCAGAGGCTGCCCAGAGAGGTGGTGGAGTCTCCTTCTCTGGAGACATTCAAACCCACCTGGACACGTTCCTGTGGGACCTGCTCTGGGTGACCCTGCTCTGGCAGGGGGTTGGACTGGATGATCTCCAGAGGTCCCTTCCAACCCCACATCATTCTGTGCTTCCATGATTCTGTAGCATCTTCGTTATTTCTGTACTGTTTACTCTTACATAGGGACTTATAAGGCCAGGATCTTTCTGCTGCATGGAGAAATCCCAGAAAAATCAAGAGGCAAATCCTTTAAATCAGAGGAGGTATTACTACACTGTAGAATTCCACAGTGATGGGGTAGGAGAGAAGTGAGAAAATTGTGTGTTTATAGGAAGAACCTTGCAAACAAAGATTTCGCATCACTTATTTTGAGAAAAAAAGTGTATGCAAAATACTCAAAGCACATCTGTTGGGTTGTTTTTGAAGCTGCTTTTGACTTGTGTAAATGGAATTGCAAAATAGTCTCCACTCTGCAACTAATATCCCTTCTTGAACAAAAATTTGTTGGTCAAGGGGAAATGTCAAAATCCTGCAAACATACCGTGCATCTGAGATGAATCTGAAATTAGATGACATTAAGTGCTGATATACAAAAAAGAGATGTACTGGACAAGTGGAAAAAACCAACTCCAATTGCTTTGATTTCAGTGATTTGAAAAATGGCAGATGGATGGATATGAAGGCTAGACTCTAGATATCAAAGGTAAAGGGAGCATAAATCCAAGAAAATAAGAACAAACACTGGGGAAACCATTTCATATTCAGAGAATAAGAAATCCATAATTTTAGGTGAAATCTGCTTATTTTAGTTTTCTGCACCTATGGAATTGCACAAAAGAGAAATGTCTTTCTTACTTTCCGTCCTTAAAGCCAAGATGTTGCTGAACTGAAGCAGTACGCACTGGCACCGATTTACCTGGACCTTTACCAGAATTACAATCTCCACATTTTCAGATCTTGGAATAAAATCCTACTTCCTATCTCTGCCAACATGCGTCTGGCATATTTTTGTCCTGTGCCTAGCTGTGTCTGGCTGCCACTATTAGCTTCGTTTATCAAGCACTTAAGTGTTCTGCAAATAATAAAAGAAAAAGGGCGGTATAATAGCTAGCTATTTTTTCTTATTAATAATATGTTAGATTTATTATAGCAAAAATGCAATGTTTGTTGAACTGAAGGAACTTTATGACTGGAAATCGTTAAACACTTACTTCTTTCACGAACCACTGGCAAAAGGCAGGGCCGATCCACTCTCTTGCATGAATCCCACAGTCCATCCAGACAGCTTTCTTGTAGGGCCGGGATCTTTTACCTATCTTGAGGTGTGAATATTCATAGAAATATCAATAGGTCTCGCGACAGTGCAACACAATAATGAGAAAATAATGCAACATTAGAAACACTAACCAAATTTGAATTTTCTCATAAAAAGGAATAAAATTTTATTGCTTTCAAAGTTATTGAACTTTGATATGCAGGTATGCCAAGATAATGAAGCTGATCTATGGAGAAAAAAAAAATACAGGAAAAGTGAGATCTGTCAATTCCTCTTTTATGAAGAATGATACTCCTAAATATCACACGGAGCAAGGTGAGGAAAAACAATGTGACAGGAATAGCCTGATCCGATGCAGAACCAAATTTTCAGAACTCAGCACCAGCAAATGAAAAGAAAGCACATTGAAAGTAAATCTTGCTGACACCATCTAATTTGTGGTCCTGATAATGCGAGCTGAGAGCACACAGCCCTGAAATTTTCTGAGTAGCTAAAGAGGAAGCACATGTGGCACATGCGGAGAAGCTGAGAAGGGCTCCAGGGTCCTCTGGGATTTCTCTTCAGCAGAGCTGCTTTCCAAGTTGTCTATAAACACAAAATTTTCCACTTCCCCGAAATCCAAATCCTGTTAATTGAACTTGTCCTGTAATCTATCTCCATGCATATCCAAACCAAGCAAATAGAATTTGGCTTATAGTTTTCTGCCTTTTTTTTTTTTTTTGCTCATTAAAGATGACATTCAGGGAGATACTCAGAACTTAGCAACTCGTCCTTGGTAATTACTGTTAACCCACGTCTCTGCTGTACATACTGTAATGTAAGTCACAAAGTGTCTGACCCCAATTCCAGACGTTAGTCTGATTAATGACTATTTAATCTTTACCTTGAGCACAAACAGTGGTCTCCCTTCATAGGATTTTCCGACAGAAAACATGTGAACAAGATCTGAATGAGTTTCATTCAGGTGATGCATCCAATCCTGGATCTGCAAATACAGAAATAAAATTGTTGCTTCAATCTTTGCATTTCATGGGAAGCAACTGTAACGCACTTATTAATCTCAGAACTCAGTCCTCTCTTTGTTTTTGGATTTTGCTGTCATTTTCCATTTTGTGATCTTTTTTTTTTTGTTAGTTATTACTGGAATGCATTAGCCACTCATTGAAAACCTGGGACTCAGTCCTCTGTTTGTTTTTGGATTTTGGTGTCATTTTCCATTTTGTCATATTTTTTGAGTTTTTTTCATTGGTTTTTGTTCTCACACTTGAACTAGCATTGGGCTCTCATAGCTCTCAGTGCAGAGCCTTCAGTCACATGGGATATTTTTCCCATTTTTTTTTTGTTAAATATTACCGGAATGCATTAGCCACTCATTGAAAACCTGGGGATGGGACTAATCTGCCATACCCACTACGCATTAATGGAGTGAAGGAGAAGGTCCCCGGCTGCCTGCCAGGACACTGAATGGTGAACAGATGGACCTGCAGGATCCAATGCAACCAGCACCAGAACCTGTTGAGGTGCAGCACCCTCCCCACTCAGCCTGGGGACTTTGTTTTGGTGCAGACTGAAACTGTATATTTGAGCACACTGGAATCAACAGAAATTATAGAATCCTTTTGGATAATAGAGTTGGAAGGGACCTTTCAGATCATTCAGTCCAACCACCAACCTAACATTGACACAAGACATCACTAAACCATATCCTGGTGGAGTCCTGGTGGACAACAGGATGACCAGGAGCCAGCAATGTGCCCTTGTGGCCAAGAAGGCCAATGGCATCCTGGGGGGCATCAGGAAGAGTGTGAGCAGCAGGTGGAGGGAGGTCATCCTGCCCCTCTGCTCTGCCCTGGTGAGGCCCTATCTGGAGCACTGTGTTCAGTTCTGTGCCCCACAGTCCAAGAAGGACAGGGAACTGCTGCAGAGGGGACAGAGGAGGACCACAAAGAAGGTTAGGGGGCTAGAGCATCTCTCTTAAGAGCAAAGTCTGAGGGACTTGAGTCTTGTCTTTTCAGTCTGGAGAAGAGAAGACTCAAGAGGATCTGATCAATACTTATAAATACTCAAAAGGGTGGGTGTCAAGAGGATGGGAAGATCTGATCAACATCTATAAATACTTAAAAGCATCTCTCTTAAGAGCAAAGTCTGAGGGACTTGAGTCTTGTCTTTTCAGTCTGGAGAAGAGAAGACTCAGGAAGATCTGAGCAACATCTATAAATACTTAAAGGGTGGGTGCTAAGAGGATGGGCCCAGTCTTTTTTCAGTGGTGCCCAGCGACAGGGGACAATAGGAAATGGGCACAAACTTGAACATAAGAAGTTCCACCTAAGCATGAGGAGGAACTTCTTCACTTTGAAGGTGGCAGAGCCCTGGAAGAGGCTGCCCAGAGAGGTGGTGGAGTCTCCTTCTCTGGAGACTTTGCTAACCCTCCTGGACACATTCCTGTGCAACCTGCTCCAGATGGACCTGTTTTAGCAGGGGGGGGTTGGACTAGATGATCTCGCTTTAGCAGGGGGGGTTTTGACTAGATGATCTCTCCCTTCCAACCTCATATCATTCTGTGATTCTGTGATATCTCTAAGCACTATGTCCACCTGTCTTTTAAATCTCAGATATCATCCAGAATAGTATCCCTTATACATGAATTTGTATGTAAGTGTTTTTGAGTCTTTGGGCCTCTTGTGCAAACATTTAAATCTAAGAACGATGTCTACCTGTCTTTTAAATCTTCTCAGATGTCATCCAGGATAGTATCCCTTATACATGAGTTTGTATGTAAGTGTTTTTAAGTCTTTGGGCCTCTTGTGCAAACATTTAAACATTTGCTCACTGAAATGAATCTGTGGGACTAATAGCTCACTGAAGTCTCTTACTCCATCAGAGTAAAAGACTTGTTTTAAAAACAAAGCTCAGAATCTGTCAAAGACAGTTTCATGTAAAGATAAGCCTTGAATAGAAGTATTAAAAAAATACGTATTTTTAAGGAGGTGCCCATTTTTGAAGAAGAAACATTTAGAATACTTCTGAAAGTGAACAGGCAACCAGAACTCATAGAGAGCAAAATCTTTGCCCCTAATACTAAAGACAGCACCATAGCAGATAAGAGGTACAATATTAATTTTCACGTACTTCTTCCAGGGAGTGATACACTTCATAGTTATACTCAGAGAGGGACCTTCGATTCCGATGCGACCTCGATGCAGTTTGGTTTTCTATTGCTTTCTGTAGGTCTGATATGAGAATCCTAGGTAAAAAAGAAAGTTTATTACTGAAAATCTAATAGAATACACAGGCTAAAGCAGAACAACAATCGCATTTAGAAGAAATATAGCAGGAGTTAAACCATCCTGATGTTACTTCATCTGCTGTATTTTAACAATAGAGTGCTTCAGGCTTATTTGAATGTGTGCTGCCAAATAAATACTCCAGCTGCTTTGAAATGTAACAGCGCCTTGAAAAAACACAATGAGCTTGTTAAGCAAATGAAACAGAATGATGTAAATAATGCAGCCAATGTGAAGAAGAAGCCACTTTTCGTTCGTTTGTGGAGCCACACTTGCTGTCTTCTTTTATAATCCAGTTATACTACGTGATCATGGATCTTCAAAACTTGATTTCAAAACCATAATCAAAAAATCTTTTTAGGCTTAGAAAAAAATGCATATACTTTCTCTCAGCAGTTATTGGACTGGCATGGAACTTTACATATACCTACAAGCTGTAGAGGCAAAACAAAAAGAAATTAAGAACTTGGTGCATTATCATTCTGTCTGAAACACAGCGAACAAATTAAAAATCTCAAGTGTGGTTTGTTCTTTACAATTATCTGCTCTGCAATAGTTGTTTGGCAGTTATTTTGAAACAGCTCAGGAAAAACATGAAAAAATGCTAAGTGAAAATTAAATATGCTTGCATAAAAAGCGAGAGGTCCTTCATTAAGAGCAAAATGCAGAAGCAGTTGTGTAAGCTGAAAACTTTCCTATTTTATGGGAAAACCGAATAATGATACAAATATAAAAGTATAATGTAGGCAATATGTAAAAAGAATTATATTGAAGAAGTTGGAGCATCTGTCCTTTCCACCACACAGTGGCGGGAGCTGGGAATATTGTCACTGACATCAGCAACAACATCACTGTAAAACTGAGAGCCATCCTTGTGTACCACCTTCTCTGAAAGCATGTGCATCACTGCTCATTCATCATTCCTGTTAAATGATGGTCACATTCAACCTTCTAAAGTTTTATAGGCATTAGCTGCAGTGATTGGGAAAAGATGGAAAGAAACTGCATTCACTCTGATCTTAATTCAACCGTGCAGCAGAGACCTCAAAGGTAATAGGTCTATCTACATATAATATCAAAGTAAAGGTTATCCCCATCTTCAAATGTATTAGTGGAGTAATTGTGTAATTAGGAATTACATTGTTCTACCTCAGCAACTTTCATTAAGTGAATTAAGGGCTTATAGTCTTGACTTGCAAAGTGCTATACACTCTAAGACCAGTACTGTAAAACGTTTAAGTAGTTAGATTAAAGCAGCAGTTTTATTCAAGTCATTAGGACATATAATATGTTAAAAAATACTTGCCAGTTTTTCTGAATTCTGATTAGTGATTCTGATTAGATTCTTAGTGAATTCTGATTCGATTCTTCCAGGATCAAGCTCTGTTTGTTCACTTTTGGGATAATAGATTTAATTTAACAACTCGCTGATTGTTTATGTGTCTGTGCTCCAAATGAGACTTGATAATCTTTCTTTAATTTTCAACGACTGTGTTCTGTGTATGCTTATAACACAAAGGCTCTTAAATCCCTCAGGCCTGAACACAACCCAAGTGGCTTTGTTGCCAAAGAAGTTGACAATGGGGTAACTCGGTGCACTAAGAGTTTATCTGATGCCTGGCTTGTTTTCATGACCCTCTTCTTGTCATAAAATCAAACATGAGGACAGATAAGCCTGTCTTACAGGCAACGGCCAGTCACCTCATTCATTATTAGGGCTGCTTAATTAATGTTTGCTGTCTTTAGAAGTTTGTCATAATTTAGGCAAGCGTCACTCCGTCAGGCTGAAGTTTTACATGGTGTTTGCCTTGGATTTTCCAGTTCCAAAAGGGATGCAGCAATTTAACTCCTTCGCAAGCAGTGTATCAAAAATAGAATTAAAAAAAAAATAATTGGGAAAACCAGCCTTGTCTGAGGCTTTGCAGGGTTTTGCTTCTGATGGTGGGTCCCAGTGGGAAAGGAGTCAGAAATGGGCAGCGTGGAGATGGGGAGGAGGGCAAAGGAATAGTCTGGAGTCGAGAAAATGCTGCCACCAAAGGCAAGGCCTTTCGAGTACAGGGAGTGTTTATAACACATATAAAATGGCCTTCTGTCATTTCATTAAAGGTAATTACTGTGAGCAGGAACAGCAGCAGACGTGAATACAACTGCCGGGGCACAGTAATTAGGGGATTGTTTTTTTGTATAAGCGTAGGAAAACAATTACAGGAATCCCCATCTCCTTTTTAAACACAAACAAAACCGGAGCAGTGTTGAACCCACATGAAAGTCACCCTGAACTTTGGTTGCTGGGCCTGCATAATTAATTTCCTTATGTTTGTTTTCGTATTTTTAGAACAACAAATTAGTAAGAGACCATGGTTATAACAAAAAGGGAGCTCTGATAAGAGTACATATAATATAAAACATGATTTGCGCCACTCTTTTCTCACTGAGAAATAAGTATAAATAGCCTCACGTAGGGCTTTATTCAGCAAACGTTTGAGAATTCAAATAACTCATCAGCTGATTATTCAGATGCTTCAGCATCTCACTGAAAAGGCTCTAATGACAAGATCATGACTCTTGTCTGGTTTATCATATTGATAAATACGAAAAGATAAGTATACTCCAAAACTGTTCTGAAGGCTTTTAAGAAATGCTATAAAATGAAGTGTGATTCGTGGCGTGTACTTGTTCTGTGCGACCTGTGCTGGGTCACGAGGAGCGAGGAGTTACAAAGCAGAACTAGTGCATTCCTTTATAATTCATGAAGAAGGCTTGTCTCCTCGTCTGCAGCACGCCTGTAAACAAACCTTGTCCCCATTAAGTACAGAGGGAGGCAGAGCAGGCTGTAGAATTAGTAATTACCATCCCTCTCTTAACAGATGTGATTTCCTATACGTTGAAAACACTTCAGCTTGACTCCAAAGGAGGACATTTAATTAAAACTGCCTGCCTGTGGGGGATTTTTCTGTTCTCCCATTAAAATGGTTGTTTTCCTGGCAACGTCTAGCTGTCTGCCAGTCTAATTGCTATGGGGTGGAACGTATTTGGTGGAACAGAAGGTCACAAGTTGCGCCAGGGGAGGTTCAGGTTGGATATTAGGAACAATTTCTTCACTGAAAGGGTTATCAGGCATTGGAATGGGCTGCCCAGGAAAGTGGTTGAGGCACCATCCCTGGAGCTATTCAAAAGACGAATTGACATGGTGCTCAGGGATATGGTTTAGTGTTGGTGTGTGTGTTTTGTTTGGTGTGGGGTTTTTTTTTGTTTTTGCTTTTGTAGGTTTTTTTGGTTTTTCTGGTTGGACTAGATGATCTTAAAGGTCCATTTGGTGTGGGGTTTTTTTGTGTGGTTTTTTTTGTTTGTTTGTTTTGTTTTGTTTTTATGGTTGGACTAGATGATCTTAAAGGTCCATTCCAACCTAGGTGATTCTGTGATTCTGCATTTTCAAGCACACTTGGCCTGGTAGCCACAGACCTGCCTTGGAGGCCACGTCTCGGAAAGCGAAGCGGAGGCTTACGTGTACTGGATGTTTGCTTGCTGGAGGTAGGGCAGCAGGCTCCGGGACGTGTTCTGTGGTACTCTCACATCGGTGACCGTACCTTCGGTGATGTAGAAGGGGCTGCTGGGCTGCCACAGGTCCACCTGTAGTGCAGGAACCAACCTGTAATTCACATGCATTCAGTGGAGGTGGGGAAATCCAGGAGATGGCACGCTTGAAGCTATGTAGGTAAACGCTCTAGGCATGGTATAGACAATAAAAAATGCGTTGGCTGGTCCAGCTCAAAATCTACACCAATAAAGCAGATTTTGAGGAATGATTGTACCCACCTTTACTATAACTATTGTGGGAGAACCCACGACAGGAAAAGGAAACAGTCTCAGGAATATGCCTCCTCAAACAGCTCAAAACAAAAGCTACCTTCAGCTTCACGTGCCTCCTTAGACTACTATACATTCCCTACATATTACTTCCTATGGACCCCATGAGTCTTTTTTTTTTAATTTCACAAGGTATTTTCTATGTTCACTAGGGCAGTAAACGAAAAGAATGCTGAAGAGAGGTAGAAAGTGTGGCATCTACCAGTGATGTTTGCAAAGTACACCCAATTTTACACTTGATAATAAGCAGATCAGAGGTCAGTAACAGAAGGTCACCAATACGATGAAGGAAGCAGTAACCTACCCAAAAATTTTATATAAGATTTCAAAATAACAGGAGTGAGGTAATCAAATGATCACAGTCTTGTTAAAAATGATAGCTACTAAATGATACCACAGTTATTAATGTGCTATCTGTATCTGCGCCTACCTAGGGGATGCTTCCTGTCCATTCTTACTTTCTTTTGTTGCCAAATCTGAAATACACTTGAATATTTTATCTGAGAACATGAATTTTTAAGAAAGCAAGGAAATTCGCAAGCAGGGATTTGAAACTCAGTGTCCTGCACCCAGTGGCAAAATGGGGTCGTACTGCTGAGCCCTACCAACTCCAGACGTACAGGCTGCTCAACAGGGCTGAGAAGAGCTTCTCCTCAGCCCCTGCGAGGCCAGTGGCCAGAACATAAGTCAACAAACCTCTTCCCAGAGCTGCTGGAAAGTCACAGGAGGCTATGGAAAGGAGTTTCAGCAACAACTCGTATCAATGTGATAAATACACAGGTCAAGATCCGCAGGCCTTAAAAATATATGATTGTGAGCTGAATACAAAGAGGGGAAATGATAGGGACTACCATGTCCCCACATTTCCTAAAGAGAATTTAAAAAGAATTACTACATGATAAATACCTTTTGAAATTTATTGCTATCAGCTGTGCTAGGCTGCATTGATGAAAGTCATGGATACAGCTGAAGAGTGTCCCTTGCCTTACTTGCTTTCCAGGTTTTCCAGGTGTTTTTTTTTTTTTTTTTTAATCCGTATTTTAAAAGCTGCTGACTTCATCTATGCCATATGAGCTACTTTGGAAATAGCTAATGCATTTCACCTGGTCTTGCTATGAATCTCATTTGACAAGAGGGTATAATCTTCCAACAGGGGTTTAGTTCCCACCATTTCTCAAAAGGCCACGAGTGACAATATTTTGATTACCAAGAAGGCATCTGAAGCTGAACCTGATGCTACCTCTCCAAGCCGTAGTGACCTTAGGCCCGTTAATCCAATTAAATGCCTGCTACTTTGGAAGGAGAAAAGCTGAAACACAGGAGCAGCCTCTTCTATTCCTGCCAAAACCACGCTTTGTTTCACGCTGCCACAATATGGTCTGGGGATCCGTGTGACAGAGGTGGGTGGCCACAGCATCTTTTGAAGTCTAACACCAGGACTGGCAAAGTTCAGGAGGCTTGTGAAGCTGACAGCAGCTACGACAGATGGTCAGCAGAAACCAAATTCATGAATTAAATGGTGTTAAATGCTGCTTATAAATAAAGATCCTCTCGCTGCGCTAGCACCTTATGTTTGTTAGTTTATCTATCTTTCGTATTTTGATTAATTATAGGCATCCAGTGAAATTCCCTTCCCCCCACACCTCCCCCCAATTCAATGTTGTTGATTTCACACATGGTTAATTACAAATGTGTAGTTGACTTTTAAGACCTATTCCTAAAAATACACATCACAGAGGGTAAATTAGTTGCTCTTGGAGTAACAGTCTATCAGGCAGCTCAGCTTGAGCCATCTTTATAAAAATAACAACAAATTGTCCTACACAAGCTTAGAGCAACTGAAGTGAAGTGTTTCCTGGCCAACCGCAATATCTAAGCACACAAAACTGGAAAAAGAAGTTACAAAAATGAAAAAAAAATCCCACACCATGATTGAGCTACGCCTGAAATTTGTCTTTTTTCTTGATAGTTGCTCATGCTTAATTTTGGTGAATTACTCCATCATCATGGAGGGGTTAAACCAACCAAAATTCACACTACTGGTAGCAACATCACCAGGCCTTTCGATTTCTAATTGTCCCTCAAATTACTGGTTGCAGGGGAATATCAAAAGCAGAAGCAATCTTCTTTTAACTAATGAAGTCAGAGGTATCCTGCACGCCACTATCCTCTTTTGGCAAAAACACAGTATTTCACTCCTGGCATTGTCCTGGAAGTGAGACAAAAAAATCCCATTTTTAGAATGCAAATCACTCCTCTTCAGCTCCGGTCCCTATTTGGGTAGTTTGGGTTTCATTTGACTCCCACTTCTCATCCTTCGCAATGTAAACAAAGCGTTCAGTGCTCATCTGGGAGATGTTACCTGTGTCCAGAGCACCACTTTGATTGCTGACTTGATTTTGCTTTATAAAGCACATAACAAGAAACATGTTTCTCCGCAGACATCTATTTATATTGCATCTTTCGGCTTGTCCTTGGCTGTGACACAGAGACAGTGCATGAAAACTGACAAACAGAAGACGGATAGCAGAGCAGACATTTTTTGGACTGAGCAAGTCCAGCTATCCTTTACTCACTGTCAGCTTTAGGAGACCTTATCATTTCATCTTCCATGGATACTGAAGGCTCCATGAGTGTCAGGACTCTTCTTTCCGCATCATTCCTCTGGAAGCACACCTTGGATTTCCACACTGGCCTCCACAGGCTAGCGAGTGGTGGTGATATTAATTGTTCTCCTATCCTCTTTGCTATCTCCGATGAGGTGTTGTTATCCCCACACATTACACATCAGCTACTGGATAAGAACGGATGAGCAGCTCAACCTGAGCCAGCAACGTGCGCTGGCAGCCCAGAAAGCCAACTGCACCTGGGTGCAGCAAAAGAAGCGTGGTCAGCAGGAAGAGGGAGAGGATTCTGCACCTCTGCTCTGCTCTGAAGAAGGAGAGGATTCTGCACCTCTGCTCTGCTCTGGTGAGACCCCACCTGGAGCACTGTGTCCCGCTCTGGAGCCTTCAGGACAAGAAAGACATGGACCTGTTGGAACGGGTCCAGAGGAGGCCATGAAGATGCTCTGAGGGCTGGAGCGCCTTTCCTATGAGGACAGGCTGAGAGAGTTGGGGGTGTTCAGCCTGGAGAAGAGAAGGCTCCAGGGAGACCTTAGAGCCCCTTCCAGTACCTAAAGGGGGCTACAGGGGAGATGGGGAGGGAGTCTTGATCAGGAAGTGGAGCCATAGGACGAGGGGGAACAGTTTTAAACTGAAAGAAGGGAGATTTAGATGAGATCTCAGGAAGAAATTCTTTGCTGTGAGGGTGGTGAGACACTGGAAGAGGTTGCCCAGAGAAGCTGTGGCTGCCCCATTCAAGGCCAGGCTGGATGGGGCTTTGTGCAACCTGGTCTGGTGGGAGGTGTCCCTGCCCAGGGCAGGGGGTTGGAACTGGATGATCTTGAAGGTCCCTTCCAACCCAAACCATTCTATGATTCTATGATTCCATATAGTATTATGTAGAGTGTACCAGTCAGTGCCAAAAAACATTTCTTTGCTGTGTGGGTGGTGGGATTTGCTAGGTGGGGGAAAGATTCGCCAGCTACCAAAACAAACAGATGCAGAAATCCTATAGAATGCCCTGAACACACAGCCATATAGTTGAACCTCAAAATTCAGCTGGTATCTTGAGGCCACAGGAAAAGAGATACACTTTAGAACCTGTCTGCAAACATAAATCTTCTCATCTCCTTTGCCTGAGCCTTGCAGAACTCTCTTTTCCTATCTATCAGGCAGCAGGTTGCCTTTAGCGCTTCCTTGGATGTTTTAAGCCCCTTGGTGATAAACAGAGCCCTGGTAGGATTTTTAGCAGGCACAGATGTGGGACCTGAAGACCACTTGCTCAGCATCACCCGCTGCTGCACTTGTGTGACTCTGGGTATCTGTTCTCCAGGATAGTGGTGGCTCCACAGATGCCCAATGAACACTCTTTCCCGGAATCTCACTGGAGGCACGAGCACCCAGACTCGCTTTCTATGAGAGGATATGGTATGTAAAAGCATACAGACAGCTCTCTTTTCCCAGAGGATGTAAACACATTATTGCTTTCTTTAACAAGTAAAGTATAAGAAATTATACTTTACTTAGTAAGTATTCTTTTTTTAACCACACCTTCTTTTTTCAACCTCACTTGTCCCATAGAAAGTATAAGAAATTATTAATTGTGACTACTTAGTAAGTATTCTTTTTTTAACCATACCTTCTTTTTTCAACCTCACTTGTCCCATAAAAGTCCCCGGGATTCAATTTGTGCTTAGGAAAGCCAACACTCGTTGAGTTTCCTTGGAGGCACTTTCTCTTTAAACCAAAGTGTAAAATACAGCTGAAGATAATACAAGTATCAGCTCTTACCTGGACACCTTCCAAGCTGCAGCAACCCTGAGCTCATTAGTCATGTCTCTAGGTTTTGGTCAGTATGGTGACGAAAAGTCAGCACAAAGCAGAAGGACAAATATTTTAAAAAAGATCTGTGTGCTGAGCTAAGAGAATTCAGGGCTTCCTCTCAAATTAAAAATGATGCAAATAGTTTTCCAGGAAGGCAAACATTTCATTGCTATAATCCTGCATAACGCAAGTGGTGTACACAAACCTCTGTTACCTTGCCAAGACAGAAACCAGAGCAGGGAGGTCTTTTCTGCACTAGTTCCATGTTTTCCTGAAGCTAGTTCTGTGCTTTTGGGAAGGCAGCCCGAGAGGAAAGGAGTCTCCTGCTTTTCCCCA